GAAGTTCGTTGGTAGTTCTTTAGCCTTTGAAGTGATACTGAGACTTGCTTTTATAGTACTTTGAAATCCATTTCTCAAAGACTGTGCAGCTCTGTGCATTCTGTTCTTTTTGTCTTCTATTGACTTTTCCTTTCTCAGAATAGGAATGTTCTGACAAATCTTTTTTGTCTGAAATCCTGTGTCATGCACGAATGAGGAAAGAGCCGTTTGGATAAGACAGGGAATATGCCAACGAATCTTTATTTGAACAACATCTTCTTCAACAACTTTGGAAAGTCTTGCATCAGAACTTCTGATGATGTTCCTAGTTCTTCAGATCAGAATTAACTCAATCAGAGTTTCTCTATCAGAGTTTGCAGCAAAGTGCTTTAAGTGTGAAATTCTTTATCAGAGCATACTTGCTTATCAGAGCTTCTGTACTTGCAGCGTTAAGTACTTCCAGAGTCTTCTGAAGCTTTACGTATGTTCTTTACTCAAATTCTTCTCAGCTTTGCTCAGAGTCACTGTAGCAGATCAGAGTCTTCTGATGTGTTGCTTCTGACGTTCAGAGCTTTCTCGTTCTTTAGTGTTCAGAGGCGTTCTTGCTTCCAGAATAATATTAATTTTGATATCTGAAACAAATAAACACTTGAACAAAATTAGAGTATATAAATTCTCTATACAAAATTTCATTAATGTTATCATCAAAACTATGAGATATATTAAACACCAATCTGTGTTCTAACAGGTTCAAGGTGGGACAAGCTGAACAAATAGGTGCGGCAGACTTTTGCGAGCAGCGGTTTTTGGCGGGGCAGGATTTGGCGGGTGACAGTCTTTAGCGGGGCGGACTTTGGTGGGCGGCGAACACAAAATTTCAACCCAACCCACCATTTTTTGGCGGGTGCACAGGTCGGCCCAGCAAGCCACAACCCGTTTCGCCACCCCTAATTATAAGTGTCTTTCAAAGTGCAATTCAAAATTTTCCATATCTTTTAAAATAAAAATTATATTAAAAACTTCACTTATTTTTTTAAATCTTATCAAAATATCTAATTTTCAAAATATTGATAAGATTTGAGAGTGTAATCTTGAAGAATCTCATCTTAAAAAAATAAGAGAATTTCTTTTTGCATCCTATAAGTTTCTACTGCACCGTGCGAAATTCCATTAATGCTCCCAAGTTCCAAAGGTATATCTCTGGATGCACTTTTTGCTTACTAAATAATGGCAATTCTGAGAGTCCCATATATGTTAGATTTAATTTGTTCTAGAGATGCATCTTCAGAAAAAAGTCTGTAGTTACATTTTCGAGAGAAATCAGAAACACTTACAGTAAGCAGACTTTCTAAAATACCATTGGTATTCATAACATAAAATGATCACTACAATCATGATTTCAACAGAAAATTAAATATTACATTTCAATATCCCAGTGGACGCTTGCACATCTTTAGGATATCTTCGATCGATTTTGTAGCGTTGCTTCTAACTCGAGTAGAACTTTCTCTTCGAAACCAAAATATGTATCCCACATAGCCCTAACATCCGCTTAATTCTTGAGCTCAAGTTTGTTTAACACGATGTTCCCTTCGTTGTTAACCAAAGGTAAATGGTACTCGAGCTTCACAATCCTTCGTGTGTCTCTGTAAGGTAGGAAATAATGGATTTCATCTATGATATCTTTGAGGGGGTGAGATTGGTGAGCATTAACGATCGACCGGGTGTAGAGCCTCCGGAGTAGGAGACATTTGCGATATACCAACAGATGTTTGTTTGTGCCATTTGAGACAGTTTGAGTTTGTGTGAAATATAACACAAGAACATCTAAATTTACAGAAGACCTAGTTCAATATGGGCCACTCAATGACTATGATATTGATTCTGGATATATATATTTCCGAAAACGCGCCCTATTATCTTGTTCCAGAGATGAACCATTTCAAAACAAAGCAATTAAAATAACCTTCCGGAGATGTATCTCCGAAACTTTCCCTGAAACATTTCCATAACAGAACCATATAACAGACACTCACATTTAGATGAAAAATGAAACAAATATGCATAAAGACCAAATTTGAAGAAAAAGTGAATATGTAACACTTCATTTATATTAAGATACAAATTTATACAAATATTTGTTCGGTTAAATAAGAAATCAAAACGAATCGAAACAAGTGTCGTAGACTAAATCTGTAGGTGGTACCCCCTTGGACTTTTGTGCATTTATTCTTTTTCAATGTTGTTCAATCTCTCAAATTCTTGCATCCTTTCCATTAAATGATCTAGTCACGTCTCGGCGTTTGCAGTTGAATGAGGTGTCCACTCTGGTGATGTAGGTGGTATGGGGCAACCCGGTTTCAAGTAAACTTGAATAAAATAACTTAATTTTGAAAGCCATTCAATACACATGATACAATCATTTGGGTTTTGGTGTGGTGTGGTGCACAGTGGGAAAAAGGTTTCCGAAAAACCGTAGCATGTCATGTCAATGCACACCCTATCATATGCACATGCAATTAGGTGACCCATATCCGGGAAACTCATCCATTTTGACTCTGGTGTCAGACCACTCAAGCAAGAAACAAGAGACTCATAAACCGCATCGAATTTTTCTTTAATTCTGTACAACTGCGTGTATGATTCTTTATGCGTATTTAACTCTTAGATAAGTTAATGAAGGACAAGTGCATGACTATCTTCTCCTTTACCGAGTAAAGCCGAAACAGCTCGGTAACCGCAGTTACCAATTTTCCACCTTCGGACTTTATTGGTTTCGTCCCTACTCCGGGTTTTACCCGACTTCTCACATTCTTTATAATGTGATACTTACAAAGTAATGCATAAGAATAAGAAAATACCTTAGCAACTGAGTTCATCAATGCGGTATCGCGGTCGATAACGATTGTTTTAGGCATCTCACCATTGATCCTTCAAAAGTGATCAACACACCTCTAATGCCCAAGTTAAATTGTCCTTTTTTTCACACTCAAGAAATGCAAAACCAACAGAATATGTCTTCTCAGTTGAGGTAACACCAACCATCTCAATTAACCGAAGCCTATATTTATTGATTGTAGGTTGAATCAAGTATGAGCACCATTGGAAACGTGTTAAATAACTTTATTGAATCAAGATGAGTCCAAAAAATATCTCTAACCATAACTCCATCATCGCACGTTCTGTACCGGGACACGTAACTGTTATCGTTTAATAGTTTCAAGAGTTGTTGCATCTCACTTCTATCCCCCCTAATCGCCTTGTTAGTGAGGTACCAAATGTTATACATTTGCTTGATATTTGCTATATTGTCGGGTTACTTTCGTTTCAATGTTGCAAGTATATTTTCTAGTTGAACAAGATTCAAGGTCATGTCACTAATACATTCCTTCTTTTCTGGCTCGAGCCGACATACACTAGGATGATCGGCTAATTTTAAACACAAATCATGGTTATGAAAATCATATATCACATTAAATCTCCAATTTTTGCTTGTCAACATGTAACCCCGAACCTTAAACGGACACTCACATTTTTACTACCCGTGTCGTCTCTTTTAAGTTTCCGGAAAGGAGTTCGATATCTCCCGTTTCTTTCACACAACATTGTCACAAATGCACATCTTCTATCCAAACCATTATCGTACCTTCCGATTACCATACCAAGTTTAAGCCTTGATGCCTCCAAACAAATTCATTCAAGCATTCTATCACGATTTTCAAACTCTTGCTTGTTATTAAAGTCGTTGCCAACATCTACAACCTTCATAACAACTCCTTGAACATTCGGAGAAACCAATGGTTTTGAGAAAATGTTGGGGTGCACCATACCTATTGGAAACAAATAAAAAAAATAGCTGAACACCATACCTATTGGAAACAAATAAAAAAATAGTTGAACATTAATTAATCTACTGCCGCTGAAGGGCTGGAAAATGAACACTGAAACATTCCGAAAATGTATCTCTGAAAAAGTTCAAACACAGACACGTTCTGGAGATACATCTCCGAACACTGCGTAAGTTTTTTCATACAAATATGATGATTAATGTGAGCAATGTAGATGATAAACAATAATATTTATCTGAAATTCAATCTTCTTTTGTTCCTTGTGATATTTTGAACCAAAAGATGAAGATTTAGAGTGAAAATATGGGTTGATAATGAATGGTTTTTAAGGTAAGAGTTTTAGTTGAAAATGGAGTATGACAACAATGGGGGACCGATCATGCAGCTACAAGCTATATCAAATACTTCCGGAGATGCATCTCCGAAAATACATGACTTATAAAGATGATAGAAACCATTCAAGATATATATCTCCAAAATAAAAATAAATCAAATGTATGAGGTATATCTCAGAATTGTCTTGATTGAATATGTAAATAATACGTCTGAAGATATATTTTCGAAACTGGATGGCATAATTGAAAATCCAAACAATACACTAGAAACTTATATAAGGTGTAATAACAAATTATCAAAAGTAATTCATTTAGACTTCTTTTGACAACTAGGTAAATGACAAACTTTTTTTGTTCAATAAATTAAAACATCCACGCCAACGGAAATCCAAAATCGAATCCAACATGAAATAACTAATATATCCATGTATCAACCATTTTTTTCAAACCATTACCATTTTAGATGGCTAATCCTTTTAGATTTGTCAAAAGTCAAATTAAAACACACACCGTGTTTAACTCAATTATGTTTTTTTTTTTTTTTTTATATTAATTTTATTTATTTATTATTATGTTTTTTTAATAAATAAATGATCTAAATTCTTAGGTCAATAGTAGAATTTAGTTTAGATTCATTCATTTATTTATTTTTTTTCCTTTTCATTTTCCTTTTCCTTTTCCGGATAGCTTCAACCATGTCATCATCACCCTTTTAATCCAATAGATTCCAATTCAGTACAATTACCAAACTATCCTTGCTCCACTCTCAGTGTTTCATGATCGAGAGTCCTTCCTTTATCTTCCATTCATCGGCACCACCACCTCCGCCGCCGTCAATATGGAGGGTGGAAACAGACCTGAAGCTGAGCGATGGCTTTACACAGCCAACAAGCTTCTTAGTGCACGTGATCTGCACGGTGCACGTTCCTTTGCGATCCGTGCCCGAGAGTCCGACCCGACTTTCGATGCCTCCGAGCTTCTCCTAGCTGTGATCGATACTTTGCTTGCCGGAGAATCGCGGATCAACGACCACCACCGTGATTGGTATGGGATCTTACAAATCCTCCGCTACACCACCAATATCGACCACATCGCTAACCAGTATCGCCGCCTCGCTCTCCTCCTTGACCCCAACCGGAACCCGTTCGCTTTCTCTGGTCATGCTTTCTCTCTCGTTCATGATGCTTGGTCTGTTCTATCCAATCCTGCTAAGAAGGCTATGTACGATAGCGAACTGCGGTTGCTCACTACACCACCTGTTCCGCCGCAGCCGCAGCAGCAGCAGCCTCAACCTCCTCCGCAACCGGTGCCGCAGTATCAACAGCCTCCAACTCATAACGCTTCCCCGAAGAAAAATCCTATATCCAGAGACGGTGCGGGTGCGACTGCGACTGCGACTGAGCCTATTCGACAAACTCCAAACCGGAACCCTAGCGAGCCAGCTGAGTCGACTCGGCAGACGCGGACGGCAAGTGCTGCTGAAACTGAAGGTAACATTAGCTTCTGGACTCTGTGTCCTTACTGTTACGTTTATTATGAGTATCCGAAGGGGTATGAAGAGTGTACCCTGCGGTGCCAGAGTTGTAAGAGAGGGTTTCATGCGGTGGTGATACGTTCGCCGCCGTTGAACGAGGTAGATGCTTCGTTTTGCACTTGGGGATTTTTTCCGTTAGGGTTTTCTGGTGATTCTAAGGATGTGAGTGGGACTTCTTCCAATTGGAACCCGGTTTGTCCTCTGTTTCCTTGCTCCTTGAAAGGAGGATCGACGAATAGGAAAAAAAATTGGGTTTACTATGATGAAGCGGCAACTGCGGCCTTCATCGATATTTCTGATCCGAGTGACAATGATTCTGATGATGGGGATTGGAGGGGTGGTGCTGGTAAGAAAAAAGGGTTGAAGAGTTCGAATGCTACCAGGAAAAAGATTAGGAAAGATTCTGGTAATGCTAGTGGGAGGCAAACTGTGGAGAGACCTAGGAGGAGTGCCACTGGTGCTGCAGCAGGGAATGTGAGTGAGAAGAATGTTGGTGCTGTTGATGCTTCTGGTGTAAAGGCGGAAGCTAGTAAGAAAGCTGTGCCAAGTAGTTCCAAGAAGGGTGCTGTAAACATGGGGAAGTTGGATTTGAATGTGGAGTGCAGTAATGAGGCAGAGGAGCCTTCCCGCGGAGTCCGTGACCGTGAAGGGAATGCAACTGGCAATGCTGAGGATAATATTGAAGGGATTGGTTTTTTTGAGGGTCTTGACGAGTTCCTCAGTAGCTTACCCATTCTTAATGTGGTGACAGATGATAAGGTTAAGGGTCATTAGCCATTTTGCAATCTAGATCTTTTTAATTTAAATTTTGTAGACTATAGTTGTTATTACTTGTATGGTTGCAATTATCGCACAAATTGATGCTGCGCGAATTATTGCCAATGCTAGATTTTATAATAAGTTATGATAGCATTTGAGTACATTATAGCTGTTGAAGTAATTGAGGAGAGGATTACTTCATGTCATGTAGATTATTATGGTTGTATCATTGAGGAAGGATTTATAGATTGATGATTTTAGACAAGTCCACCACTCTCTCTCTTTCACTAATAGGGCAAGAATGAGTTTATTTTGGAGTTTTAATTGGTCATAAGCTCCAGACTGTATGCATAACTAAACACACGCATTCACATGTAGTGTCTGATCTGATGGTGTTCTAACCATGTTTGGTAGTATTGCTTGCAAGGTGTTTATTTTGGATATTTTGTTTGGTTCTGTTGTTTTCTTCTTAGGTATTATGTAAATTTGTTCTGTTATGAGTTTTGCTATGTTGTAAGTTGAGGTTACTTCCTGTATGATATTATATCCTTACAAGTCTGTTTGATCAAGGCTTAAAAGCATCAGCCATTGTTTTAAAATGCTATTCCTGGGTGCGGTGATATACGTCAGGTCTTTGGTGCTGTAAGTCAGCGATTCAGCATTTTCAAACTGCTTTCAATTTGACAATTTGGTAGTATTTGCTTGTGAGTTTAATATGACATTTTGTATTTTGAGAGACTTATGCCGTGCTTCTGTATCATGCCTTTTCAAAGTGTAGGTACCCTCGTCTGCTTGTGCTTCTGTTTCAAAAATTCTGAACTCTGATATATCATCCTGCCAGGTGCTAATATGCAATTGTGCTTCTGTTTCAAAAGTTCTGAACTCTGATATATCATCCTGCCAGGTGCTAATATGCAATTTATTTCAAGTTATTTTTTTCTTGATTGCAAGTGTAAATAAGGTCAGGATTAGTTCAACGACATACTGTCATCTATAATACTACCTTATCATGAACATGGATCATAGAAGGTGCTTAAAGAGTATTTGCAAGAATGACCTTAGCTCATAAGTGTGTTTGTTGATTCGCCAGCATTTCCCAGTAGTTGGATGTGGTGGATAGTGGATATTATCCATGCATAGAAGTTCCTTATTTTTTTAACCAAAAGAGAAGGGATAACAAAGTGCGATGGCTCAAGGAAGGTGCTTAAAGAGTATTTGCAAGAATGACCTTAGCTCGTAAGTGTGTTTGTTGATTCGCCAGCATTTCCCAGTAGTTGGATGTGGTGGATAGTGGATATTATCCATGCATAGAAGTTCCTTGTTTTTTTAACCAAAAGAGAAGGGATAACAAAGTGCGATGGCTCAAGGAAGGTGCTTAAAGAGTATTTGCAAGAATGACCTTAGCTCGTAAGTGTGTTTGTTGATTCGCCAGCATTTCCCAGTAGTTGGATGTGGTGGATAGTGGATATTATCCATGCATAGAAGTTCCTTGTTTTTTTAACCAAAAGAGAAGGGATAACAAAGTGCGATGCCTCAAGGAAGATAGTTCCTTGTTACTTGTCACATTTGAAAGAAATGTAGTTTGTGTAAAGCACCAATTGCAAGGAGATAATATAATTTCACGTTAATGTTGTGTTTGATTTTGTGGAAAGACAAGAAGAGAAAAAGAAAATGAGTGGACAGATCCCTTTTTATTATTTGGTAACAATACCAAAGGAAAGGAAAGAAAGTTTCTGATGGGACCAAATCTCTTCCGTGTGGATTGAGGGAAACAAGAAGAGACCAAAATTTGCTTGAGTAGACAAAATTTTACTTGGTCACGGGTTAAATTGCTTGCTTGACCGACTCTTGTATAAAATCGAATGGTTAAGGAGTTGATGATTGCATTACATGGTCACATGTTGAATTGCTTGCTTGACGGACTTTAATAAAATCGAAGAATTCGGTCGTATAATCTGATCTCAATAAAAAAAATAAAAATATTGTATAAATATTAAATAGTGTTGAATTGCGTAACTCAATCTCTAAAATAATAAAAAAATCATAACACTTAAAAAATGTCAAAAGACCTAACAATTTGTTATAAATTCACAAATTCATTTTTCAAATTAAAAATTTTAAAATTTTAACTATAGTTATCATCACACAATAAAGCAGTATAAGTTCAAATAATTTAAGTGAATTCCAATTGCAACACAAACAAAAATAGTAAAACAACTCTAGTGTCTAGAAAATTTAATTTTTAAGAGTCAAATTTGTTTCAATGATGAACTCTCCTATATAAAAGAATTCGACATCTCAAAAAAAGTGTCTCCGTCAAAGATATTATTATTTTAATCTATGTTTTCTTTACAATTGAGCTGGGCGTCATTTTTATTCAAATTTAATTGATCTACCATACCCTCAAATTTAGAGAAATTAAATAATTAAATTGTAATAACAATATTCAACAATATTTAGGAAGATCTTGTGTAGTGCTTCCAACTCCTTACTATTTAAGACTGGTGGTAAATCTTCTAAGATCTAATATAGTGATAATTAGATGTTTCGATGTTAATATTGTATAAATATTACGAGACAACGATAACAACAACATGTATAATAATCAAAGGGATGGCATGATATACTCCAAAATTGACAGGGTCTTGGAAAATATTGATTGGCTTCAGCAGAATTTGGAAAGTAAACTCATTATTATGAACAATGGGGTTTCAAATCATGCTCTATTGTGTTTGCAGGATATTAAGATAAAGAGAAATATTAGAGCTCCCTTCAAATTCCAAAATATTATTATCAATAAGGCTAAGTATAACTTAGCTGTGCAGCAGTGCTGGGAGGATCCTCTAGTAAAAAAATCCAATGTTTGTTTTTTGAAAAAAGCTTCAGTAAAAAATCCAATGTTTGTTTTTTGAAAAAAACTTCAAAGGGTTCAGCCTGTGATAAAAAAACTTAGCAAACCTTACAATGAGATTAACCAAAAGTTAAGGACAACTAGAGAAGAGCTATCTATAGCTCAAGACATCTTACTGAGGGACATGATGAATATTCAAGTTATTGACAAAGTCAAAACTTGCACCAATGAAGTTTTGAGACTGGACAATCTTGAAGAGAGTATCATTCAACATAAACCTAAGGTGAATTGGCTCAAACTTAGAGATGGTAATAACTCTTATTTCCATGCTTCCTTGAAAATTAGGCAAAGGCATAATCTGTTGGTGCTAAGGTAGAATAAATGAACGGAAAGAGAAATATTCTATTAAGAGAATGACAGCTACACACACTCACAAGATTACAATGATTGTTACCCTATTTATAAGCTAAAACTAGGGTTACTAGAATAAGATAAAAATACTAAAATACCCTCAAACAAACTTAGGGGCTAAGAAAATAGTACAACTAATAAATATGAATTACTTCTAATACCATTCCTTAATTCATATTCCATCAAAACTTGTAACACCAATTCCATCCCTTAGTCTGAGAAATTGATCAGTCTTGATAGCTTTCGTCAGAGCATCTGCCAACTGTTTCTGAGTGCTGCAGTGTACAACTTCTAACACTCCACTCTGAACTTGATGTCTCAGAAAATGATACTTGGTCTCAATATGCTTGCTTCTCCCATGCAACACTGGGTTTCTGGCAAGATTGATTGCGAACTTGTTATCAATCATCAGCTTCAGAGGTTTATTTATTTTAATCTTCAGATCCTGCAACAGATTCAGAATCCACACAGCTTGGCATGCAGTAACAGCACCTGCAATGTATTCAGCTTCACAGGTTGATAACGCCACAACAGGTTGCTTCTTGGAACACCAAGAAATGGGACCTCCCAGAAATTTGAACAAGTATCCAGAGGTACTTCTTCTGTCAACTCTGTCTCTACACCAATCAGAATCTGAATAACTCAGAAGTTCTGACTCATCCTTTCTTCCAGAAGGAAACAACACTCCATACTTCAGAGTTCCCTTGATATACCTCAGAATCCTGACAGCAGCTTGGTAATGGGACCACTTAGGTTTACTCATGAACCTACTAACCATCCCAACAGAATAACAAATATCAGGTCTGGTATTGCACAAATACCTCAGAGAACCAACCAACTGTTTGAAGATTGTAGTGTCCACATCCTTTCCATCAGAGTCAGAATCCAGTTTCTGATTTGTATCTGAAGGTGTGACAACAATCTTACAATTTTTCAGTTCAAATCTCTTCAGAAGTTCTAATTCATACTTGAGCTGATGCAAAATGATACCTTTCTCAGAATATCTGAACTCCATCCCTAGAAAGTATGTCATTTTGCCTAGATCAGTCATTTCAAATTCATTCATCAGAACTTTCTTGAACTTGGCTATCTTCTGTTCAGAACTTCCAGTCAATAGTATATCATCAACATATAAACATACCAGAGTCATATTGCCTTCAGAAGTATGCTGAACATAGACACCGTACTCCATCTCACATTTCTGAAAGCCTTGCTTCTTGAAAAATGAATCAATCTTCTGATTCCAAGCTCTGGGCGCTTGTTTCAGTCCATATATAGCTTTGTATAATCTGTACACCATCCCTTCCTGATTCTTTTTCACAAATCCAGGAGGTTGTGACACATAAACTTCTTCTTCTAATGGACCGTTCAGAAATGCAGATTTTACATCTAAATGCATCAGAGGCCAATTCCTGTTAGCAACTATTGCAATCACCATTCTGATTGTTTCATGTCTTGCTACAGGTGCAAACACTTCAGAATAATCCAACCCAGGTTTCTGTAGAAATCCTATGGCTACCAACCTTGCTTTATATTTGCCAATTGAACCATCTGGCTTTAACTTCGGCTTGAAAACCCATCTGACGCTGATGGCTTTCTTGTCTTTTGGAAGTTCTGTCAGCTTCCAAGTCTTGTTTCTCTCTATAGCATCAAGTTCTTCTTTCATGGCCTTCAGCCAGAGCTTCTGCTTAAGAGCCTCTTCTGTACTTATGGGTTCAGAGTCTACTATCATGGCACACTGAATAACTTCTCC